TTCTATAAAACTAAGAGATGCAAGAAATGCACTTATGTCATACATAACTTAGATGGAACGACGGTTGTTAAGGATTTTAGAGATTTAAATCTACATTTCCTTAAAATATATTAAATGACAAATGTTTCTAACAAAAAATCTACGAACACAAATTATTCAGTTTAGTTTAAAACATTTTATTTCTATCAATGGACACTTGCAGAACAAAAATTTAATATTTTATTTGTAAAAAGTGTAACATTATGGTTATGCATGTGTATAGAACATTCCGTTTGAATAAATGAAATTTGAACGAAACGTATATGTTCACAAACGCAACGTTTTATTTTAGAAAATTATGAAGTAATTTTTAAGTAAAGAATCACTCAAAATTGGACATATAAAATGCGCTAAAACATGGAAGTAATTTCGTTATTTCAGTTCTTATTACCAATAAATAACGTGAATTTAATTTTATTGCTTTATGGCTATCGTTTATTCTCAACTATTTGAAGAAAAATGCAAATTTACATTGATAAAGTCTTTAATACTTATTTCAATAATTATCGGCAATATTTTGGCGTACTGCAAATGTTTTTTGAGAACTGTTCCTTATTTTCCATAGTGGATTTTGCGTTCCTGAAATGGTGTAAACTCAAAAACTGAACGTTCTTCAATTTCTGCGCATTATGGACAATGTATGAAAAGTTTCATTCGTTGTCATAAGTCATTCCTGGCTTTTACTTTTCTCCTGAATTTTGAATGTTTTCCTCTGAACATTCCTTACATCTACTTTAACTGCAAGTGTTTACGTGCAGCACAAAAATTCTGTAATTGCTACAAGCTTGAAACAAAATGCGGTTTGCGTGTGAATACGGGAAGTTTCTCATTGGCTATCCGTAAAAAATGACTTTTTCACACAGCATTTCATTAAGTGGAGTTCTGGAGTTCGCTGCACGCAAACAACAGTTAAACTGAAACGATCAACATTGCCAATGTTCAGTCGAAATGCAGGGTTAAGGTTAGGTTCGTGATCGTCAGTGCGATGTTAGTAGGGACTCGAGTATTAGGAATTTTATAATCGTTATTTTAAGGGTTTTGACGATACATTATATCTCGTTTGTTTTTTTAAATTTTTTATAAAGAAACTGATATCAGACTGAACATTTTTGCAATAATTAACAAATTTAACCTAATTTTACAGTTTTTACTTCTGATCTTCAGCAAAGTATTCTTTAAAAAGCATATAACATGAATAAATATTCTGCAACTTTTTAAATATTCATTTGAAAATTTGCCAGTTCTGGGTCTAGTTCACTAGAGAATGGAGGCCTGAATATTTGCCGGAAATAGTAACGTGACATTCTGGTTTTTAAACCCAATCAGTAGCGAATTCTAGACTTGGGGAAGGTACTTCAACAAATTAATCGGTGGATTTCAAGTAAGGAACATGCTATCCGCGGAAGTGTAGAAGGTAGCATTGCCGATTTATTCTGGTCACATAAATTCACAAATAATCTATTTTCTTTGTGTTAGACTTTAAGTGTTCTTATTTAAATTGCCTCAAGAGAGACGTACAGCGATGATTGGTGATTGACAGTACAGACAGATTGCGGTCCCTCATACCTGCAAACGGAGTTGCGAGAATACTGAATTCATTAAAATCGTTACAAATCCAGAGTTTATGCTATATTTAAATCACAGACTTGATTGTATGATTGCGTAGTTATGTGATTACTATTATGATTATTATTTTGAATAATCTATATTTCTTTTTGGAACATAGTGTTTAACTGTCTCATAATATTTTATTGGAAACTCTTTCAATTGGAAAACTAAAAATATCATTAAAATGTTTTAATGTATTCAGGAATTGATAGAAAACTCTCTTATTAAATTCCTGGAAGCCTCTATTCAGAGCGGTTGTAAGCCCATGCGTAAACAATAACATAGCCAGACAAAAAAAATTGTGTTCGTGTCTGACCAAGTTTTCTATACGTTTATCGCATCACTACATCCAAATTCGGTGTCCATTTACTTCATCACATCAGTTTTTTTTAAATAATCTGAAAATATATAAACAATGACATATATTTAATCGAGGGGTCAAAACTTGTTACCTATATGTTTTGGGGGTCGCTAAAACATAATCTTAAGTCTATTTCACTTCATCACATCAGATTTTAAATTCGGATAAATTCAAATATGATAGAGAAGGTGGTATTGGTCCCTGACGAGACAACACTAATCACGTTGTTGTACGTCAGCTTGACTATGTCGTTGACGCCAAATCAATAGCGTTCCCTCCAACCAGACACAGGGTTTTTAAAAAATGTTTTTGAAGTTATGTGAAAAATCTTATTTGATGTGATAGAGTTAAATGGACTTCAGATTCGGTTTCAACGTCCCCAATACATATAGATAGCATGATATAACTGCTCGGATAGAATATCTTTAATTTGTTTATATTTGTTGAGGTTATGTCAAAAACCTGATTTAATGGTGTAAAATGGCCACTGGATTCGGACTTACCGACTCAAATCGTATAGAAAACATGAAATGATCCCCACATTTTTTGTGTGGTTGTGGAACAACCCACATTCCACATTTTTGTGTGGTTGTGTAACCATCCCCTTTTGGTGCGCAGAGCCCCGCCCGCGCCCGCCCCGCCCGCCCGCGCCCGCCATTGGCAGCGTGGGTCGCCGCCGCGCTGCTGGCCGCACTCCTGCGCTGCTGCCTGCTGGCGTCGCCGGCGGCCGCGCCGCGGCCCCGCCGCGGCCCCGCCCCCCCCGCCGCCGCGCCCCCCTCTCCTCGCCCGCGGGCTGGCGCGCGTCTGGCAGCCGAGCCGCCGCCGCTCCCTTCCTGCGCGACGACGTGGAGAGCCCGCCCGCAACCAGCGCCGCCTGCCGCCCCCCGGCTCCGGCCCGAGTTCGGCTCCCGCGCGCTGCCCTGCGCGCGCGCCGAAGCGTCCCGCCGCAGGTGGCCAGGTCAGGCACCAGCCACACTTCCACCCTCACTACTTCTGTCCTTACCCGGAGCGACACATAGCACAACAAACCAATAATAATAATAATAATAATAATAATAATAATAATAATAATAATAACGGTAATAATTATGACAATGATTATCATAATGATTATGAAGTAACCATTACGATAATTATGATGATGCGAATCCTGCAAAAAATGCTGCTAAGTACTGCCTTTTGCAGATTGATCACTGTTAGATCTGTAGCTCCGTAGACTTAGATCCTTAGACTACTTGTACAAGAATCGTTGAAATAAGCTTAACGTCATATAAAACGGTTCCACGAAAATAGCTTCAATTTTGAAATAGAAAAAAAAAATCCTTGCACGTAATACGTTGTTTATAATCGCTTCATGACACGTTCACGCCTAATTTGAAGAGAAAAATAACGTTCGATCGTGACATCGTAGGAAACAAACGTACAGACACATAGACAAACTGTCGATGGTTTGAGTTAAAACAGGACCTCGCTACGCTTAGTCAATAATATTTCTTCAGGTATCCTCAATGATTAGATTATGTTGATTATATCTGTGTGTAATTATTAATTACTAGTAGTTATGTGGAGAGTGAAATTCCCCTTCTCGTCAAATCCTTAGACACCCTACATGTCATTCGGCTCCGGAACTCCTGTTCCATTGAAGAGGGACATCTCCACCTTCTCGTTATAACATGCACTACACTACACTAATGTTCATAACAGTTACCTGCTTTGGTAACTCAGGGCATCAACTTATGTCACTGCAGTGTCTATGACTGGGTGGTTGTAGAGTTTCTCTCCCAACGATGGCAGGACTTTCGACAGTAGGTCGAATTCCTACGCTGCCTGGAGGAAAATTCTATTGACCTACTCTGATATGTACGAGTAGTTTCCCGTGGTTTCTCCGATCAACTCGACAACAAGAATACCGGAGCGCGCACAATCTTTTCTTGCCTTTCCTGGCCCTATCATCAGCCCTTGCTTACACACTGTTACCCTGACATACCCTACACTGCCATTCACGTCTGGAGCTTACAAATTGTCTCGACTGGGGTAGTGCCCCGCTGTTGGGAGAATTCATGCAAGCTGACGCCTGGTCTCGCTAGCCAGAGAGGGAAACTTCACCGCAACAGCCAGTGATAAAACATACACATAACGCTTTCAGGACTAATGACTATAGTAGTTGACACGCCCGCAAACACAAAATAAGCAGTCAATCATAGCAATTGACGCGTCATGACATTTAATACCGGGAGAGGTGGCTCAGGGTAGCAACTGATGTCACTACAGTAACTCTGACTGGGATGTTCGAGGTTCAAGTCCCAACATTGCCGGATTTTTGACACTAGCTTGTCAGCTAGGTCGAATTCAGTCGCTGTCTGGAGGAGAATTCTAGTGGCAGACTGCGGTGACATGTGCGAGTAGTTTCCCGTGGTTTCTCCGACAGTTCGACAAGAACCGCGCGCGATCTTTCCTTTCTCTTCCTTGTCCTGGCCTCGACCTCTACTTACACACACTTCTACTGACATGCACTACATTACCACATGTGGCGGGAGACCGGTCGGGAGCTTAGAGCTTGTCCCGGCTGGGTCGGTGCTCCGCTTGTGGGAGATACCTGGTTGAGAAAACACTGCTAGCCGACGGTAGATCGGCACCGGATCTCGTCATCCAGTGGGGGAAGATCATCACCATATCATGAAGAAAATTCGACAAGAACCACGCGCGATCTTTTCTTCCTCTTCCGTGCCCTATCCTCACCCATTACTTACACACACTTCTACTACCATGCACTACATTACCACACATGGAGGGAGACCGGTCAGAAGCTTGGAGCTTGTCCCGTCCGACATCACTTAGGGGGCGACCGACCTTAGCAGTTGACGCGAAATCACTGACAATCAATCAATCACTGTGACATTAAATACTCGAACGGGGTAGCTAGGGACGCTCCGCTGGGCGCCAATTGCGAACCTCCCGCTGACGCGCTGGCGCTGGCTTTGCGCGTTCGCAGCTTCCGCTCGCTGGCGCGGCTGCCGCTGCGCGACGCGGTGGAGAGCCGTCCGCACAGCCTGGCGTCGTGGCGCTACGCCTTCCTGCCGGCGCCGGCCGCCGCACCCACCAGCCCCGTCATGGGCGACGACACCGCCCCGCCCCGCGGCCAGCGCGACCAGTACCGCGTCGTCTGCTTCGTGGAGGGCTGGTCGGCGTACCGGCGCGAGCCCGCGCGCTTCTCGGCGCGCAACGTGGACCCGCACGCGTGCACGCACCTCGTGTACGCCTTCGCCGCCATCGACCCGCACGGCCTGCACCTCATCCCGCAGGACGAGGAGTACGACATCGTCAAGGGTGAGTCAAGCGTACCGGGAGACGTTTAGTTGATCATCACCGATTGCCAGTAGTCTTAAGAAACACTTTCCCCTCTCGGAGATGGTACAGGATGATCCTGCATTTCATACCGCAGGATGTGGATAAGCGAATTGTCAAGGGTGAGTCAGGCGTCCTAGGAGACTTTTAATTGATCATCTCCGATTGCCAGTAGTTTTACGAAACACTTTCCCCTCTCGGTGTACGATATCGTCAAGGTGACATTTAGTTGATCATCACTGATTACCAGTAGTCTTAAGAAACACTTTCCCCTCTTGGAGATGGCACAGAAAGATCCTGCACCTCATCGCGCAGGACGGGGAGTACGACATCGTCAAGGGTGAGTCAAGCGTACCAGGAGACTTTTAGTTGATCGTCACTGATTGCCAGTAGCCTTTCGAAATACGTACCCCTCTTGGTGTACGACATCGTCAAGGTGACTTTTAGTTTATCATCACTGACAGCCAGTAGCCGTAAGAAACACTTTCCCCTCTCGCAGATGACACAGGAAGATACTGCATCCCATGCCGTAGGACGAGGAGCACGACATCTTGAAGGAGATTTTTAGTTGATCATCACTTGTTTCCTGTAGCCTTAAGAAACACTTTCCCTTCTCTGAGAACACGAGAGGGTTAAACTTCATGGTCTGCTACCCTTCCCTCAGAGCCAGGAGTACATATTTAATGGTACGATGCTTCATGCTTCAACCTTTCCCTTTGAATTGAACCAATGAAGGTACTATTTCTTGTGCCACAGATTTCCAAGTGCTAAAACAAACTATTTCCACTTCTCTGGGAGATAGAGGATCAATATCCTTGATATGCTCCTTATTCTGCACAGCGGAAGAGTAAGACATAGTCTAGGCATGCCCATGTACCTCTTCCTCGGATGAGAGGGGAAAATCAGATTATAGATGATAATTTTGATGATGACGATGGTTTGTCTAAGCCCTCAAAAATTGCAAATTATTTGCACTATTTTTAATCATTCAAAACACAGTATTTTGTATAATTAATCATCAGTTGGCATGTATCACGTATCACTACTGTGAGACTACAAAACGGTTCAATTTGACTAGTCTGCTCCTTTTCCCTCAGAATGTTGAGAGTGCTTCGTCGCTCGCTTTCCCTACCTCTCCTAGTTGTATGGGACCAATAACGTACAATTTCTGGTGCAACAGTCTATCAATTACGAAAAGAAATAATTTACCTTCTCTGAGTGGAGGGGACAGGGGTTCAACCTCCTTGGCCTGAACAAGGCAGAATAATTCCTTGCCTGAAAAACGGAGAGAATAGTTTCAGACAAACGTGTCATAGAACGCAAGCTGACTGCATCTCCTGTACAAACCTACCTCTCCAGATCGGAATTGTCTATCGCGCCTAGTCCCTTTTCAACGATAATTCAGGCGCATTTCCATTGTTGGCATTTTGGAAAAATTGAATAACGGAGAGCCATAAAAACTGAAATTATCGAACTGGAACTCATTTAGATGTCAGACTTGTTTTAATGTATGTTATGTTAGGTAACTTAAAACTATATTTTGAAAATGAATATAAATGCTTACTTTTTCAAGTTCACAAGGGCTCAATCTCCATAGACTGTGCCTCACTCTACACACGATCTGACCTACGAATACATCAAGAACGTTATTATTTGTCCCTGCGATCTACCGTTCCTTTAGACCTAATGTTCCTTTAGAATGAATCAGAAATATTAATAAATGAGCTGTAATGGAAAAGGAAACGTAATATTAACTCCTCCAAAAATTTTAAAATGTAAAAAGTAACCTACACAACGAAGACTCCAATGCAGTCTTCTGCAGCTTAAGTAGTTTACATAAGTTTGTCTCTTATACAACGTGTTTTTTGTTTTTAGATGTTTTTTTTACAACTTAGTCATATAGCGACCACTGTTTAAACCGTATGGGGAACTAGGAAAAACACGAACACACACACACAAACATCCAGGAATTCGAACGGAGGAATTCAAGCCCGTACCCTTCGAGGTGAGGCATCTATAGCCCTCCAGACTCAGTGACCTCGGCTATCCATGCTGGCTATACTATGTGTATTCTCATATATCTTCAAAATAATAAATCCCATTGACGTTTTGAAACTTATGTTGGATATGTGGTTTTTGGCACTGACATTTGTAAGTAAACTTACCAGTGAGACTATGTAAGAAAATTATGCATTCGTTAACTAAACTTACCAATATTCAGATCTTTCCGGTCTTGTTGAGAGAAACTAGGTGAAAAACTTTCATTGTAAAAGCTTCACGAAATTTTACTTACAACGGTCTCCGTCGGTTCAGTCCCGCCTGTTCTTGTGTCGGAAGTCCACCACTGGAGCCTCGCCGGACGGAAAATTTTAATCCCGACGCTGTTCCGGGCGACGCCCAGTGGCTACGTGCTCTGCAGCGAGAGGCAGGCCCTGGGGGTGGCCGTGGCGGAGGTGACTTCGATTCCCGCGCGCATCATCGCCTGCGGCCGCTGGCACGGGCGCGGGGGCGCGACCTCGCGGCGGCGGCGGAAGTGGCCGGCCCGGCGCCTCCAAAGAGCGGGCGGGGCGGCGGCGGGGGAGGACATGGCAACCGTCGCCGCTGACCTCGTGGCCGCGCATACCGATCCCATATGCCGGACCTCCCGCCCCTGCCGAGAGCGGCAGTCGGTTCACGTGCGGACCTAGTCCTCGCGGTCGAGACGGGCAGGTGACGTGGCAGGACGTGCGGTGTCACGGCTGATCCTTGAATGCAATGCAACTCAACAAATCGTTTATAAGAAGAAATATTTGCATGTCCACTATGTCGAAAGACCAGTCGGAAGCTTAGAGCTTGACCTAGCAGGAGCGATACCCCGCTGGGAAAATACCTGTGGAGGAAAACCTGCAATCCCACTTATAAGTTGGCCAAAAGTCACTATGCAGAGAGAGAGAGAGAGAGAGAGAGAGAGAGGAGGGAGAGGGAGAGGGAGAGAGAGGGGGGGAAGTCGCCACTTCTCGCGATGTAACATGCACTACATTTATAAGTGTGAAGCCCGTAGTAATTGACAAGCCCGAAAAAAAAATATATTTCAGGGAGAAATATTACAGACTCAATTACGTCTGACTAGCACTGGCAACTACGAGAGTTACGTCAGTGTTACGTTCAGTGTAAAAACATAGTTTTCTCCACAATGCGGATACCGAACATTTTTTATATTAAACCTTACAGAGTCTGTGATCTATAGGGATGAATATCGTAGGTCGAGTGTTAATGGTTTACCCAATCACTTCCAGATGAATACAACTTCCTATAGAAAGGGTCACGTACCACGCGCGATATATCGTTTCCATTCCTCTCCCACATTCCAGAATAGAACGCACTGAGTGGGGGTGTGCCGCTCATACTTTCAAACACAGTAGCCGTACACAGCGGTAGAGAGCTCGTCATCCAAAATGGCATGATGAGCGTGAATAAGACGAATTATGAAATATTCAAGGGTCTCCAAGAAAATGTTACAAACTTCTACCGCAAGAATAGTCGACAATCAACACATTTTGCCAATGAATGAGTGTAAGGAAATTTCTTAAAGAAGTTTCACATGTGACATTTTTTCGCGATTGGTAGTCAACTTGTCATCCATTGGGGTTTGGCGGGTTACGTTTTAACGCAATAAAGAAGTTTCATTTTCAAGTGACCCCTGCAAATTGAAATACTATGTTAACATTAGCTTAGGTGTCAACTAAGCTAAGAAGAAGAAAAAGAATAAGATATTTTTACTTATTTTAATACGGTGATTTCTGAATTCACTTGACGAAACGTATCACTGACAACATTATTTCTCGACCCGGAACAGCAGGACCTCGACTTCTAACAAACAAATAACTTTGAATCGCTTCGTATTTAAGTTAGGTTTCTACTGTCCACAACAAGGTCCGCGGATGTCACATGAGGACCACCCCGCGCCGTATCCGCGCATTTCGCGGGTGTCAATAGCCGTTAGCGCCCCGTCAGTCAGCGAGGCGGGGGCCGCGGGCGACGGCGACGGCGAAGACGAAGGCGCCGCGCCGCCGCTGTTTGTTTTGAGAAGCGCGTGACGCACCGCGGCGCGGCGTCGTGCATAATTCATGCGCCGGGCCGCTTCGGGGAAGGAGCGCCGCGCCGCTAATAGGCAGCAGCTGTGTGGACGCCTCCTGCGGCTCAGCCGCCCCCGCGCGAACGCCTCCCCCTCCCCCGTCCCGCGCCCACCCGCCGCGCCGTGCTAACTCCGCTCCGCGCCCCGCCCTCCGAGCCGCACGGCCCTCACGCCCCGGGCCCCCGCCTGCGCTCCACGCCCTGCGCCGCTCGGTCCGCACCCGAGCACCACGCCCCGTGCCCCACGCCCCTGTCCCCCCGCCTCTCCTCCACGGTCCCATTCACTCGATCCCCGCCTCGCACCGCGCGCCCCGGTCCCCCATGCCCCATCTTCCCCGGCTTCCCCCACACCGCACCGCACCTCACGCCCCACACCCCGGTCCCCGCACCCAGCGCTCCACGCCCCACGTCTACTCACTCCGCGCCCCTCGCCCCGCTCCCCACGCCCAGCATCCGCACGTGAGTTCTTTTTGCAATAATAAATAGCTGAGTCGAATGCATAAAATGGATACCGCGTAGAATGCGTTTCTTTAATTTATGCACGGGAGGATAGTGAGACGAGATAAGCCGTATGTGTATGTTGTATAAAAAGCGTTAAAAGTCCGGGATGGATGGCCTCGAAAATATTCTTTGAAAATATTAGAGACCGAAGATGGGAATCTCGCGCCGACCTGGAAATGTGCGGACAAAGCAAGTTAAATTCTCTGTATAAGTTGGTAATATTTTTGATGAGCTATTTTACTCCAATTGCCTTCACGCATGCACCTTTTAAGAGTAAATCGCCATCCATTACACAGAACATTTGACTGCATCTAAAGCTTTTTAGCTCTGAGAAAGGCGACTAGCTGTAATGCTGGATTGAATTCAGCGGCGCTCGAAAAAAATTCTAGCGGCTAGCTACTCTGAGCGGGAGACTTCCATGGTTTCTTCAACCAATAGCAGACGAGTGCCAAAGCAGTACTCTAACAAACCAGTCACGGATCAGGAGCTATCTTTCCTTCCTTTCCCTTGTACAATTCTCTCCCTTTTCTCACATTTTCAGTTAGATGCATTACTTGGTCGGGATAACAGACGTGAGCTTATAGATTTTCCAGACTAGGGAGATTCCTAGAAAGGAAAATGCTAGCAACCAATCTTGTAGGTCGGCGCCGAATCTCACCATCCAGGTGGTAGGAATACTGTCACGAACCGGAATAAAAATGATGTTCACAAACGGGACTAATAGTCATAGGAGCTGAGGGGCTTGGAAATATGAATCTAGATCAAGTCCTTCTCTTGGTTGTCTCGACGCAATTCCAGACGAGTTCAGGAGCATTACCTTCAACAGCGAGCGACATCAAATCCATCTATTCAAGTATAACCCCCTCTTCTATCTGTTAATATTGGGCATCCCCCTCTTCAGCTATTCTGTGATCAATTGATCAACGATATGGCTGATATTACGCAATAGTAAGCATTGATTGCCCATTGATCCTGACCGATCGTCCTTGACATCCCTTCATTAGCAAACAATAGTTATTCAGAGGTAAGACGGATAGAGAGCACTTTCTCGGGGCGAATCATGGAAATCCCAAGCAACTGGTTATCTACCGCAATGATTCGTTGCCCCACGTATGCGGGCAGTTAGTGACGAGACCTCAAGGGAAGAGTGGGGCGGGAACCGGCGGGAGGGGGCGGGGAGACTGCTGCTCCGTTACACGTCATAGGCCGCTCCTCCCGACACGCTAATGAAAACAACAGTTCGCGGACATGCCTTTAAGGTTCGTAAATCGTAAGGTGATTCACCAACGAGTTTCCCAGTTCTTTGCCAAGTATTTGCCAATCCAGCTACGAGTTTGCCGCGTCATTAGGATTCTGGAAAACAATACATCCCTAAATATTTAAGACACACGTGTATGTCGATATTTTCTTTTCAGAATCTGCAGTGTTTCTTTACATTTGATGTAGAACAATGATAACCTTTGGGCAAGTTTCAATTTAGTCAATGGACTGCATATTCAACAAAATTTAATCTCTCTCTCTGAAGTAAATGCTATTCTGAATGTACGTGAGTTTTGGCAATTTGAAGGTATATAATGTAATAACCTTGATGTCATGGACATCTATTTTTATTTGTGATTTCGGTTTAGAAGGGCAAAAGTTTGACCATTTTGGCTGTCAAGCGAATTACTAATGAAATGCGAGAGTGAGTATTTGAGAGTCTCTTTTGTCCATTTCTTTTGTCCTTTTGTCGTTTTCCACGTTAGCTCTATAGCTAGGTCGAATACTGCCGCTGCCCGGAGGTTGTTTACGGCGGCCGGCAGCTCTGATCGGGAGTTTTCCTTGTATCCGCCGATCAACACCAGACGAATGCCGGAGCAGTACCTAAACGGATAGGACACGGACAGTAGGCGATCCTTCCTTCCTCATCCTTTTCCCGTCTTCTCCCTCACAGACACACACACACACACACACACACACATTCCTATACTTACATGCACTACATTGCCAAGAATGTCGGGTGACCACTTGGGAGCGTACAACTTGACTCGAATGCGGCGGGGACCCACTACTGAAAATCTCCCTCAAGCCAGACTGTAGGTCGGCACTAGATCTCTTCATAAAAAGGGGAAGCGCACCGCCATCACTGGGGGTAATCATTTACTACATTTGTTATGACAAAACAAGTTACTTTTGTAAAACAGTTTTTTATTTACAATTTCTGAGCATACAGAGAAAGCCTTTAACAACGCGTAGTTACCAAATATCCAAGAGATTCACCGGGGACTTGCCAAATTCACAAAATTTTTGAGAGATACCCAAACAGAGCAGTTGTCACAATCCAAATACCCTGATGGAATGTCCGTAACACTTGCCGGCAGCGTAGACACTCAATTCTTGCACTCTCTGGGCTCACAACACGGCGGGACGACTGAAACTGTGTTCACCGCTCGCTGCATGCTGTTTTACATCCGGTCAGGGCTAAAGGCTCGTCGATTGGCCCGACCGTACGGCCAGTGACGGTTCCGCTGCGCCCGACCTCAAGAACCGCCTCCCCCCCCTCCGCCAGCGGTGCCCGTATTTTTTCTTGGGGCGCCGCGCCCTCGCTGCTGGGCCCTGGTGCCGGTCTTTCAAGGGGGCGCGGGGACCACTAGAAACGCTTTACGAGATTCATGGACCACTAGAACCTTTACGAGATTCATGGACCAACTAGAACCTTATGAATATTATTAAGTTGAGCGTAAATAAGAATGGACGAATGGCGTGTGGGGCAGGGGCTCCGTCGCCTGGTGGGTCTGCGGCGCGTCAACCCGGCGCTCAAGGTGCTCATCTCGGTGGGCGGCTACCAGGAGGCGCGGCGGCGCTTCGCGGAGATGGCGGCGTCGGCGGCGACGCGGCGCGAGTTCATCCGGTCGGCGCTGCACTTCCTGGAGCGCCACGACTTCGACGGCATCGACCTGGACTGGGAGTTCCCGGCGGCGGGCGACCTGGGCGGCAAGCCCCAGGAGCGCG